CGGGAGCCGCTGGCAGCCGGGCCCGGGCGGTGCGGGGTCCGTGCCTGCGGCCTCTGCGCTCGGGGGGTCCGGAAGCTCCTTTTTTCTTGCGAACAATTAACGATTATTTGGCTACAATGGTCGAGGAATTTCTTGAGTGCTTTTATTTAGTTCTTTAGCCCTGCAGAACATTTAGAGGAGGGTTTTCTGGCCAAAGTAAGTTACACTCTAATTAGGCAACTTTTGAGGATACGTAGTAACCAGAAGCATCTCAGAGGAGCCCGCGCCCGCTGCTGTGTTGCTTGGGGCACGTGCCACTGCTGGTTTCGGTCCTACAATGGTCGAGGAATTTCTTGAGTGCTTTTATTTAGTTCTTTAGCCCTGCAGAACATTTAGAGGAGGGTTTTCTGGCCAAAGTAAGTTACACTCTAATTAGGCAACTTTTGAGGATACGTAGTAACCAGAAGCATCTCAGAGGAGCCCGCGCCCGCTGCTGTGTTGCTTGGGGCACGTGCCACTGCTGGTTTCGGTCTGGGGCTGTGAGAGCCTCGTGCCCCTCTTCTTTTATGCTGCAGCTAAAATTAGTTGCACTTTTGCATCCTTCTCCTAGAGCCCTGGAGTTGTCCGCCCTCTGTATTCTGAGAACAAGAGGGGGATCTGCATCTTTGCCCTGACTCAGTGTTGGAGAGTTCAGTGGCAACCTGGCACGGGCTGCGTGGTTTTGATGTGTGTGAACACGCGGGTTAATTCCAGCTACACCTCCTGCAGCGCTTGGAGCCTGGTGGAATATTGTGATGGCAGCTCAAATGACCGATGCCCATCGGCGGTTCCTGCAGGTCCTGATGGCTCACGGGGTAATGGAAGGATCAGGGGTGAGGAAACTGCACCGGCGCTGCTGTGAGATCCACAAAGGTGTGTTTCTCTTGCAGGGAAAAAGCAGGGAGATGGAAGAACCTTTCTTTTCCCCTGGTGCAGCTTACAAATAATTAGATTTCTGAAAGCATGCACTATCTAAAAAAAGTTAAAAAACTTTAATGAGTTGAGTTTTCTCTTACTTTCCTAAAAGGTAAAATGAGAAAGCAGGAGGAAACTGGAGTTTTTATGAGGTCAGACTCATAAAGAGCACTTTTTATTTTAGCAAAAAAGTTTTTTTATAGGTTATATACTTACATTTTTTTTGACATTGATAATACTGAAATTTCCAGAATGCTCTATTTATTTGACAAGGTTTCCTGTGGAACAGAAGATGAAGTGTATGCTGTCATCCATCTTGAGTAAATCTATCACATCATGGTCAACTGGTTAGTTTTAGTATATGCTATACCAAGCTGAATTTTGTAGCACATGTGACAAAAAATGGGTTGTATACTGTCAAATCTGTTTAAAATTCATGTTCAAACTGAAATAGGGCAGAAATGTGTAATCAACTTGATAAGGATTTTTTTTTTCCAGAGATCTGCTTACAGATCAGAGCTCTCTATTTCATCTTCACTAATTTTGAAAATGTGGTTGGCACGAACTGAATCAAGCTGTGATGAGTAGCATGTTCAGTGCTAATTTATCAGTAGGTATTAGATGGGCCAGTTGTCTGGCTCCCAGAAAATAGCAAACAAGTAAAATTCCACTATTTTAATATTTTCCTAATTTATAAACAAAATGGAAAAGGACAAGGCATTTGTAAGAACAAAAAGTGTCATTTGAAAGGAGACACCCAAATGCTGCTTGAATTAGCTGTTTCCTGACAGCAGGTGCCAGGCAGGTGGCACAACAATTTGACAGAATTGTACTTCCTTTAATATTATACTTACTTTATTATTGTTTTTGCTGTTTGTTGGCATTGCTCACTTAAGGAGTCTTATAGATTGGAATAATGACCTCTCTGGGCAGGATCATCCGGTATTTTTGCAGTGTAGGATGCGCTGCAGGATAGTTGGCTTTTGAAGGTGGGGCCTCTTGTCTGCTGTAGTTACACAAGTAACAACTGGGAATGGTATCAAGTTAATAGTAACTGGTAGTATTTTTGAGACCTCAATCATTTTTCTAAAGCTATGAGCTGTTACTTTAAACTGTTGTCTGTTGAAGTCAACAGAAATTTTGCCACCAACGTCATTTTCTTTTGGATGGACAGTCTTGAGGGCATGTTTTGTTGCTGTGCAAGCAAAACCCATAGCATGTATTTCTAGAGAAGGACTTCAAAGTCCATCTTAACTATAGTTGTCTGTGATAGAACTTCTAGAAGTTCTGGTGGTGTTTAATTTGTTTGTGGAACATGACACAAGATATTGCTTGTATTTCTAAAATGCTGGAATTTTAAGTTTTCTGGTATGTAACTTGATCATTTGCATGCCCTTAATCTGTGAAACAGAACACAAAGAAACAAGGAATCTTTTGATGTAAATGAAGGAAAGGCAGTATAGTTTTGCATTGTGCACAGTAGTTTCTCCTGATTATGTTTTAGTTTCAGTTCAGCTTAGTTAAAGTCACAGTAATTAATGGGTCAATGCTGTGGGTTCTGTGCAGCAAACGTTTGGACTCTTCTAAACTCTGACTTTCAAGGAGCTGGGCTTCTCTGAAAGCTCAGTCAGCAGCACAAAATGATGTCTGCTGAACGTAGCAGACCTGTTTGAACTCTGCCCCACCAGCTTGTGGCGCTTTTACTTGGGGAAAAGTGTTTCAGCACATAAAACAGAAACAGATCTGCCTGATAAGTAGTTGTTTGGGGGTTTGTTTGTATATGTTCTTTTTGAAATTTATTTTCAGTCTACTATGCGCATGATAAACTGGATGATTTCATCAGTGCCATTAACAGCCACCTGCAGCCCTTGTTCATGCAGGTCCGGAAGGGGATGTCGGAGGATGACGGCAGAGCTCACTACGCGCTGGTAGGTCCGAGCTGTGCTGCCCCCGCACGGCCCTGCGGGCTGCTCGTGGCACGGGGAGGGGGATGAACTGCCAGCAAACAGCCTGGGGCCGACAGCACTGGCTGATTTATTGAGCATAAACCGTGCTGAAGTGAGATTTCTTTTTCACAGGAGACTTTCTTTCTCAAGAGGAATTTTTAAGCTAGAAAGGACGGAGAGCCCAACAGGAGTTTTGTTTTTCTCTTACTCAAAAATCAACCTAGCATAGAAGGAATTGCTAAGGAATGGCCTGTAAAGATTCTGTAGATGCTCTGCAATGTGCATGCCAAAGAGGGAAGGTTATATAGTAATTTCAAAAAGCAGGAGGTAATCTAACATGAGCTGCTGCTTTTGACCTTTCTGCGTTACTTTGCCAATTAAGTTGAGCTAATAATAAACAGCAGTAGCATGTGCAATGAGTATGAAATACTTGTAACTGTTTTTCACAAACAATGTGTATTGTAACATAGTTACTGCTACTGTCCAACACCATGTCCTGGTGTAATACATTCTATTGTATAGAACTAATGTTCTGTATTAACACTATAGGGGGGAGGTGGGATTGCTTAAGAGTTTGAACTGGGCAGACACTGCTGTGGAGAATGTGGCTGGAAGATCAGGGGTTGTAAAGAAAGGACTTGACTACCATCATGTGCTGTCTTTAAGGAACAGCCTCTTTCCTGTCACTTAAATAAATATATGTTAAATGTAAGATGCATTATTTGCCCCAGAGGATTTTTTACAGTTTATAGTGTTGAAATACAAAGACACTTTAAAGTATTGTTTTTCTTGTAGGTGAATTTGGCAGAAACTGAAATAACTAAAATGGCATCTGACTATACAGAAAATGAATTAGAATTGTTCAGAAAAACAGTAAGTATGCCAGTTATTAGTTGGTAAATAATATTATTTCTGTAGGTACCATCTTAAAATGAATGGCAATGAAATGAACAGAGATGTGGTTCTTGAGGTAGTTGCCCGGAGTTGTGTATGTTGGGGGTCCCTGGATGCAGCTTCAAGGGGCAGCACTAAACAGCTCTACTTGGGAAGTGTTTTCTTGATGAAGATTAAAACTGTCGAGTAACAGTGATTGTTTTAGCTCTTGGCTTTTGTTTTACAGTTCTGGTTCAAGCCATATACCATAGTATATCTCATATGTTTGGGTGCTGTAAAAGTTGCACATTACTGTAAGATATGTCTAATTGCATGGGCTTTTTTTAATAGCTGAAAAACTTTCTTTCTGTAGATGGACCTAATCATTTTATCAGAAAATGGCTTTGCCTCTTCTACAGATATTTTAAACTTGGCTGACCAACTTAAGACAAAAAAAATGAAGAAAAAGGAAGCAGAACAAGTGCTGAAAGTTTTTGTGGAGGATAAGTGGCTCTCTGAGGTAACTGCTGTGGCTTTTCAAATATTTGTATTTTAATAGATCCAGCTATAAGTTTATTACGGATGTGATGGCAGAAACTGGAGCTGCTATTTAATGGATGATGGCAAAAATGGTTTAATGGGACCTGTGCTAACTGCTGCTCCAGTGATTTTTTGCAGAAAAGGCAAAAGTCCTTGGGTAGGTCTGTACAGGACAACATGGTTTCAGTTTCTAGTACCTGGGTGAGGTGTGTCCATGTGTGCAACCCTGCGTCGTGATGCGCACACGCCCTTCATGCGCAGCCACGGGGTGTACTTGGCCTTGGAACAGGAGCTGGGGAAAGCTCTTCACGGTGACCAGTGCCCTTAGTTACACTTAGAATATATCTTGATAAGCAAAACTTGTTGAAAACTCCTGTACCAGAAAGGCATGGGCATATTTTAAAATCTCCTTGACTTCATGAGGGAAAAATTTGTTTACCATGCAGACACTGCAGGTGCTTGGCAAAACAAGTGAGACCTCAGTCCCTTTTCCCCTGGGTTCACTGCATCATAGATCTGCAACCTGCTGCTACACACTGACTTAATGTCAGGGTGATTTAACAGGTTTTTCAGAGGCACCTCCAGCAATAAATGCCCAGATTTTCCTGAAAACTAGTAGCATTTCCACTAATGTGCAAATGGAGAGTTCCAAAACTGCATGTCTTTGTTAAAGAGAGCATCTTTGCTCATCTGTACCTTCTACAGACTAGATCTCTGTTAAAGGTGTGAGATATTTATTCTGATTCTCTAAACTAATTTTGCTACTTCAAAAGTATTTTGTCTTTGCATTATTCAGTGTCAGCATGTTAGTTTCACTGTGGCAGAAAAAACTGGATGTCAAATGCTTGCGAGCAGGTGGTTAGAAAAATCAGAAAAGGTAAAAGAAATTACAAGAAATTGCTCATTTCACCACTTGTTTCCTTAGAGAAATGGAGAATATACTCTGCATACTCGCTGCATAATTGAGATGGAACGATACATTCTCAGCAATTACCAAGATGTGGCAAGGAAGTGTAACATCTGTCACAGCCTTGCCATCCAGGTAACATTTGTTCTATCACCTCAGGTGGCATCTGCTAATGCACTTACATGGTCACAGCTGAAGTCTGTGATACTTCCCTTCGAGTTGTTAGGCAGGCACTGAAAAATTCTGGTTTTGTCATCTGTTAATGGTGCTCATGTAGATAAAGAACATCTCCCTCCTTTTTTCAGTGAAGGTATATAATCTTCTGTCTTTGGAAAAAAACATGTCTTGGACCAGTTTTAATAGCTACTAAGTTACCGGTTTAGTCTTGTGTAAATGGTTGCAGCCTTAACTCCTGTTCCAAAACTACTGCATTGTCTTCCTTCTCAACCCTGCATCTTCTCATCTTCCCAACTAACATCTTTCCATGTTACTTTTTCCCAGTTGTTCTCCTTTATTGCACCCATATAGGTGTGTTGTCTTTCAAGCTAAATTTTACCTGTATAGGGAAATGGTATTTCCTGTTTCCTAGTTTCCAGTTACCTCCTTGTATCATTTAACAGCTTTGACTTTTGAGCATTCACCAAATGTTCTGCGTGACCATCCTTTGCAATAAGACATTGCCTATCTGCTGCCCTTTGTAACAACGTCATGTTAAACTGAAGGACAGGGTACTAAGACTTTCTTATTCACAATCCTGATTTCAGAGTCAAGTATGTGAATCCTGTGGGACTGCAATGCACTTACCTTGTGTCAGGAAGTACTTCAGAGCTCCCACCGAACCGCGCTGTCCCCAGTGCAATGACTTCTGGTCTTGTGACATTCCAGGTACCCAGGAACCTATTTCAGATTGAGTGCAATAATACTAGAGAATGGGCTGTGATATTCAGTGGCACTGCCTGTATTATTTGTAACTGTAGTTGAATCAGTTATTTCTGACTTCAGTTGTATGTTTTGGACAGTAAACTATACCTGGGCAACAATAAGCCCTCAAAGAGCAAGGATTATGCCTCATGGTCACTGGTAGATCCTCTGCATATTGTTTATAACAACATTAAAGGAGTTGGGGAGGGAACACAGAATAGAGGACAGACACAACACTACACTAAAACTTCTGGAATACCAAGCTTTTAAGGAGAGCACCATCTCTTCAGAAGCTTCTATTTAGCCAGGGAAACTGAACATCCTGAACAGGAACATGGGAATATAAAAAGCATTTTAAAAATCTGGAGGCTATACAATATAGTCCTTTTGTGTGTGTCATTTATTACCTTTCCTTTTGTTTTCTTTACAGGTGTGAGTCGGATAGACTCCCAGTCCCCATCAAAAACAGGGAGAGCAGAGAGGAGCCCCAGTCTCAGCATGAGACGATGCTAGTCAAACTTGGTTTCAGTGAAATCTCTTCCCCTCTCTTGCAGAATAACCAGACTGTTCATTAGTAATAATGTATTGTTCAGTGTACTTATTTCTTCCTTCAGTTTTAAGACTGACAATAAACCTGTAATTTACATTCCTGTTCTTCAGTTATGCCTGCACAGCTTTCTTGGAGGCTGTTTTGTGTATGCAGTTCTCCATATTCTTGGGTAGGGACTCTCAGTGTGTTTGGGAAAGAAAGATGCAAATGTTTTCAGTTAGTCCTGCCAGCTGATCCATGCAGGTGAACTATTCACAGAGCCTTTTTCAGCAACAGTGTTTCCTGTTTGTACAGTTTCAGTTGCACAATTGAAAATGAAACCTGTTACTAGTACCACAGGGCTTCAGGTAGGTGAAAAATGCAGCACTTGTGGTCTCCTCACTAAGAAGGCTGGCAATAGTTTGAGCACTTTCTGTTGGCACTGTTGCTTGGGTTTTGCCCCTTCTTTAGACACAGAAGAGATCATCTGACAAAAGGCCAGGTCATGACCAGCTATACTCAATAATGAGAGAATATTCCTACCATCAAAATTATTGGGAAGGAGTAGGGTAAGACTTCTGGGGCTATGCCAGCTTACATCTGCAAAGCATTGAAAAAAAAATAGTCTTAAGACTCTTAGTTTTTAGTATTAGCACTTCCTGCTCCAGTTTTATGTAAGGATGCTTCTTCCTTTGAGAGTGACTTGAAAAGAAAGACAAGGACTAGATATTACCAGGTACCAGAACAGAATGATTACTATGATTACTACAGCCTTACCAGAATGGAATGGCACTGTATCTTTTCCTTGGTAGAGATCTATGACAATCTGCAGAAGGCAAGTGTCAGCAGTTCAGCTGATGGTTAATCACAGCATGATTAAACTTCAGTTTCTTTAACTGCAATTAAACTATGGATTAACTACAATTAATTCTCTTCCACCCAGGAGACTAGTTTTGCTTCATGTTAGTTTTTTTTTCAAACAGATTGAACCTTTGGGTAGCACCATCCCTCATTGTTGATGTAACTCCAGTTTTTACAATTATTAAATCCAAGCAGAAGGGAACAATACACTGAGGTTCCAAAGAGAGTCTGCAGCAGGCTCCTGGCAATGTACACAGGTGTACAAGGTGTTGACCTAACATGCTCTTTATGAGAGGTTCCTATAAGAAACACCCACAGAAATAAAGGAGCTGTAGCATCTTCTATTTGTCCATCCAGATCCTGTCACCATGCTGACACAAGAGTTTGTTGGGTTTTGGTTTGTTTGGGTTGCTTTTTTTTTAAATCCACCTCTAACCTCTGGATGGGGAAGAACATTCTCATGCTTAAAAATAATTATCTTTTGAGAAGATGCCAGATGTTACTTGTCCTGATTTTTAATTGCTATTACAGACTTTATGTGAGGTTCAGAACTATGACCACCAGAAACTGACAGAAAAGCTGATATCGAGTGATCGTACATAGTGCCAATATTTAACTGGAATAAACAGAACCTGTCCAGGCATCAGAACACAGGACTGAAACGCAGCCTTCCTGAAATTGGGGAACTTAATTAAGTCAGGATCTTCCACATCAACCTATAAAAAAACCAAAACAATCATCAGTAGCATGTCCTTATTCAAATATGACTTGATAAAGTAACATTAAAATACATACAAATATTTTTAAAATTGATATTAAAATTTCAGGCAACTATTTACCTGACTAGTGTTGTGAAGAATGTGGCTTTCATGTGGGTACAGGTTTTCTGAATCTTGTGGTGAATACAGACGGATATACTTTCTTCCAAATACCTGCATGTGGTACAATAAATGTATCTGTCATTAACCTACACAGTACTGGATCAGGTAAAATACACAAGAAATACCCATTATCTTTGTTGGTGATAAGTAGAGACTGCTACAAAAAGAAGTTAGAAAAAAAAAAAATCAGACTATTGGAATTGAAGTGCCTGTTCTCTTGGAGCAGGTAAGAGTTTGAAATACCAGAAAATTTCTTCAGCCAAATTACTCTCAATTCAAAGTTCAAGGCACCCAATTTATACAGTGGCATTTGGGCTCTACATAGCTAGAAGTAGTTAGAAGAACTGAGAATAAAGAGATTGCATCTTCTCTGAAGGTCACATCAGCAGTCAGAGGTACCAGAAGAGTGACTGCTAAGCTTTCACAAACTCCATTAGCTCTTATTTCTGTGCGATTAATAAATTAGGTCTTTCATTGGAGTGCTTAATTGAAAGGCCTAGAGTTCATAAGCTAAGTGGATTGACCTGAACACTGCACTGATCTGCAAGTTGTCAGTGCAGATAATGAAGTGTCAGAAGAAACAAGAGGCTGATGCTGCAGTGACACCAGTGGGATGCCCATGGGAGGCACAGGGTGAAGATTCACGCTGCTTGTGCCAGGATTCAAGTTTTCTTCACAGTCCAGGTGTGACTGTATTTGCCCATGAAAGAGTCACCCATGCTCTGACCAACCCCTGTACTTGCTGGGTCAGGGCCCTGTGCAATGTGAGGTTGAGTGCACAGCTCATGGCCAGCACCCCTAGGAACTGGTTTCCTACCTCAGGGAAATGCTATGATCTCTGCAGCAGCTGCCACCCCGCCAGCAGGGATCCTTCCACTTGGTTACTTTTACTTGTGTCTTCCTGCACTCCACAGCCACAGTTTAAATGGCATCAAGAGGCAGGGCAGTTTTAATTGAAAATGAAAACTGTCAGTCACTTGCTGTTCAAATTACACTCTTTTACAGCACTGGCAAATACTCTCTTCAGGCAGAAGAATTCAAGTTCTGAAGTTTGATAGCAAAGTATTGCTCCCAGTTCAAGACCTCTTATAATGGACTTTCACCCCAAAAAATTGCCAGTAAGTTTTACATAGTGTGCATAGTAGGATTCTTCTCTTTCTGAATGCAGCTGTATGTGTGCATCAGGGGGGTTACCAGGGAAGAGGATCCCAGTACAACTGCACAGCAGTCACAAACATCTGGTGTAGTAAGTAGAATACAGACCTGGGCTAGAAAATTTTGCTGGGGATCCTGATGGAGAGGTGAGATTGTGCCCTTGGGACCAAACCAGGCGTTAATGGTGATCTCATCTTCTTCCCCTTCTCCCAGGCAGCAGTAGTCAGGGATACCGATATCCTCTTTCAATTCTGGGATCTACTCCCATAAAGAAATAAACATTAAAAAGAGTAAGTGCTGACTTGTCAAACATATATAATTGACAGAACAGAGGAACAAAGCTTGACACAAAGAAATGACATGCTTGTCCAGCAAAGGCAGAACTGCTGGGAGTCTGCAGGAAATGTCCTTGCACTTTCTGTCCTAGTAAGCAGATTCTGTTGGAAGGAGAACTGGGAGAAAGAAAGGGGTTTCTTACTCTTCCCTTTGCTTTAGCAGAAACCAGAGTAACCCACAGGAATATGTATGTTTGCTGTTCTTGGGAAGGGGCACGTGATGTTTTATATGCTTAGCTATATGCTGTGAGATTCCTTCTTATGTCTTCCACCAACCTAATTTCTGGTTAACTGGAAAGACATTTCAGAGTATGGTGAACATATCACCACTGAAGACTGTTTCCTGTCCAAATCTCCTCCCTGACTTACATGTCCTTTGGGGAAATGCTACATAGGTACCAAAACAGTCCTCAGGCTGAAAGTCTTCACCCCCAAAAGGCTTTTGTTTCCATGCCTTTGGAGCCACATGGAACAAACCCCTCCTTCTGTCCTTCAAGTGTGATTTCTTTATGTGCCCTTCCATCCTGTAGAGTTGACATCCTCAGAGATGACCTGTGCCACAAGGGGAACATGTGACTGCAGAAAGATAAAAACATTTGCTCCGTTTTACCTGATCGAAAAGCTGGTGCTGAGCAAGATATCCCACACTGTTCTGAAATTACAGCAGAGAAAGACAAAAAAACATAGTGACATAAGGGTAGGACTTCCCAGTCAGTTAATTTACTTATTGGTAACATCCATTTCCAATGCCCTATTTCAGAGCACTAGATTTGTTTCAACAGTTGTCTCCTCCCCACTATACAGGGGTCTTCTGAAACAGTAACTTAGAACTACACTGAAATTCTAAGAGTGTAGATACATCCTCACAATCAACAAACTAATTAGCTCCAGTGTCTGGAAGAAGCCCAGTGATAATCCTTCGGAGTCTGGACTGTTCTGCTGTCAATCCTGTGAAAACACTCTGCACCTTTATAGCCAGACCCTGCTGGAACACACACTAGTTCACCTTCACTCCCTGTAAGCATCTCAACATTCTATTCCAGGCTGCACCACAGAACAATTTGCAAAGACACATGGTCCTTCCTACCAGAAAACTACAAAACAGAAATGAGGGCTTCAGATCCTCAGCTGAGAAAGTAAAAGGACATGCAACTGTGAATCAACTTTTTTGTATTTTTACTGGTGACACATGAATTTGGATCATGATTCTAGCTCTCATTAAGCAGTTTAATAAATGAGAGGAACAAAACTGCTGGCTGAGGATTCCTTGTCCTTAGACTCCACCATTCAAGCTTTTGCTGCAGAAGGTATCCATCTATTAATCAAATTCCATTTAATTATATATGAAAAAAAAAATCAAACCTAGCTAACTTTGCAATAACTGTTTGTAGCTTCAGATCTTGAAAATATGTCCAATCTTTACATACAGAGTTGTGCTTATAACACACCCCCTCCCTTGGCGTCACCTCTAAGCATGTTTGTTCTAAGCAGAAAATCTGTGCCAGTAACACCTGCAGGATTTGGGGATGAAACACGAGTGACAGACCTGATCCACAATATACTGGTTGATGAAGTCACTGACAGTCATGAGCTTCTGAGACCATTCCTCATCTGTGTATCGGGAGCCCAATTCCACGGGGACCGTGCGGCACCCTGCGACTTGACAAAAATAGTCCACACTGAAATAAAGAAAGCTCTATTACCCTTTTATACTGCTCTTCTCATTGAGCACAAGGAAATAAAGAAAACCCA